CACTCTATCCGAAATGTTGACTGCTTAAATATCATTCCATGACTCATACTCCTCCCCATATATATACGCACGCAAATATTATTATCAGCCTCTGTTTTGCTTGGCTGTGCCCTTATTAAATTTGACTAACTCCGCCTGTAGCTCCTCTGGGGGTTACTGCCGGTCCCAAGCCCGGGTAAAGGAGGAGGGTTGGGCATGGGGTTAGCGACCCCATCCCGTAGAAAATCAACTCACTAAAAAAAACGCTAACCAGAAAAAATCATTCAAACTCTGCCCTGGGAGTAGAAGGAATAATTATGACGTCTCATGATGAAAGCCGAGTTCCTTCGGAAGTCATGAGGCCGATGCACCTTCTTACAACCAGAGCGACAATTTTTATAGGTACATGGAATGTCCGGACAATATGGGAGACCAGAATAGTTTTCTAAATTGCTGCAGAAATGAGAAAATACAACCTGGAGGTTCTTTGAATCAGCGAAACACATTGGAAAAAAGCCCAGGACAGAGTGGGTTGGAGAAAGCTGGTCGGCGGCCTATGCTCCATTGGGAGTAACAGGCTTAAGTAACGTAAGCAAGTATTAAATTTGACTGTAAATTGCCTATGTAATTACTTGCTCTTAGCTTCGTTCGCTTATTCGCCTATTCACTCGCTCGTTAATATTCGCTCAGGTGTTGTTAACTTTCTGACCTGAGTTATTCGACAATAAACTGTAGTTGCTGCTATCCTTTGTCTTCTGATTTTAAGCGCGGTTAAGATTAGAATTATATCGGTTATTGAAACAAACGATTAACGAATCACGGCACTACAGCATCACAATGAACGTCGTTCAATGCTATGCGCATACAAACGATTACAATGAAGACGTTAAAGACCAATTCTACGATATGCTGCAGTCGATCGTCGACAAGTGCCCAACAAAGTACTTGACCATTCTGATGGGAGATTTTAATGCCAAGGTTGGAATGGACAACACTAGATACGAAGACTTCACGGGACGACATGGACTGGGAGAAAGAAACGAAAATGGTGAGAGATTTGCAAACCTATATGCCTTCAATGAACTGGTCATAGGCAGTACCATATTCCCACATAAACGCGTACACAAAGCCACATGGACTTCATCGGATCACACTACACAGAGCCAAATAGACCATATCTGCATCAATACAAATTTCAGAATGACGATAGAGGACGTGAGAAATAAGAGAAAAGCTGACATATTATCACATCATCGCTTGATGGTCGCACACTGGAGAAGATTGAAGAAAGGAGGAACGAGAGAGCAGCAATCAATACCAGCCGAACAAGAGCAGAAAAAGCCAACACACAAGCCGATTACACAGAAGCAAACAAGGAAATGAAGAGGAGCATCAGAACCGACAATTGTAAATATGAGGAAGATTTAGCAATGCAAGCGGAAAAGGCTGCAAGAGAAAGAAACATGAGACGACTGTGTGATACTACAAAGAAACTCGCTGGAAGTTACAGCAAACCAGAAAGACCACTGAAAAGCAAGAAAGGCGAAGGAATCACAAACAGTGAAGAACAACGAAACAGGTGGGTCATGAAGACGTCGACATTTGGAGGAAAGCATGGGATACAGTGAACAGGCAGGATGCAGCTTCACGATTTAAACTTCGCAGATGATCTGGCTCTTCTATCACAAACGCAACAACAAATGCAGGAGAAAACAACCAGTGTAACAGCAGCCTCAGAAGTAGTAGATCTCAATATAAACAAAGGGAAAAGTAAGAGTCTCCGATACAATACAACATGCAACAATCGAATTACACTTGACGGAGAAGCTTTGGAAAATGTGGAAACCTTTACATAACTGGGCAGCATCATTGATGAACACGGTGGATCAGATGCAGATGTGAGGGCGCGGATCGGCAAAGCAAGAGCAGCATACTTACAACTGAAAAACTGCTGGAGCTCAAAACAATCGTCAACCAACACCAAGGTTAGAATTTTCAATGCAAATGTGAAGACAATTCTACTGTATGAGGCGGAGACGTGGAGAACTACGAAGCCATTATACAGAAGATACAGGTTGTAGCTGTAAATAATTCCCCAAAATCAATAGATCATTAAGTGTTCGACATTGGATGCTGACCACGTTGTTTAAGTGGACTTGTTTAGCTGAAGGCTTTCGGTCATGCATCCGTACCAGATCACGTTGCAACACGGCGTAGGACACAGCTCCTACGTTCATTAGCCATCTTACAGTAAAGGTTCCTCGATATATTGGTAACTTATCAAATATATCTTTCCTACCTCTCCTTTTCTGACTTCTGGTTTCTATTCGACTGGGAAAAAACGATTATAGAAGATACTACTGGTTGCTAGTTGCAAAACTAGAATATCCGTTGTATCCTCAAGGTGTTTATTAACAGTCGTCTACGCAAGATACTTCAGATCCGTTGGCCAGACACTATCAGCAACAAGTTACTGTGGGAGACAACAAACCAGATTCCAGAGGAAGAAGAAATCAGGAAAAGACACAGGAAGTGGATGGGACACACTTTGAAGAAATCAACCAATTGTGTCACAAGACAAACCCTAACATGGAATCCTGAAGGCCAAAGTAGACAAGGAAGACCGAAAAACACATTACGCACAGACAGACATGAGAAGAATGAACAAAAACTGGATAGAACTAGAAAGGAAGGCCGATGACAGAGTGGACTGAGGAACGCTGGTCAGCGGCGTATGCTCTGTATGGATTAACAGGCGTAAGGACCTTCATTGGTAAGAGTTCACACAGTGTATTCAAAAACAGAAAATACTGTTAACTAAGTCAAGTAGAAATCTTGGAAATATACCACGAATTAGTTTTCTAGACATCCTGTATCGCCTTTTATCATGACCAAAAGTAGATTATTTTTTAATTGTCATTCAAATATGGTATGCATCTTGACGACACTCTTGTGTACATATATATTTTGTTAGCTATTTTCATATGTTGTAATCGTACTTAGTTTCGTTGTATATGTTATTTATACGGTGTTAAGCTGTATTTGGTGTACGAAACTTTTGGGTTGCAAAAACCGACTAACTTTAAAAACTGGTATTAGACAGAACCCCAATTTCCATATTGACTAACTGTTTATTTGCGACGCATGCATGCCTGAAATATGGGTAATCAAAGGTAACTTTATGTTCGACTACTTAATCTTACGTTGTATTTACGCGACTAGTCAGAATATTTATGACTTTAAATAAGATATATATCTTACTTCAAATCTTGGATTACTGGTGTCAATAAAGAGTGATACAGCTTGAACACCTTTGGCCACAAGATTTCCCACTCCAACTACCGATCAAGTTCCCACCAAACATGCAAAGTTCGATGTTCGACAGCGTTAGTAGCATCCAGAAAGTTTATTTATGGTTTTACATGGAAAAAGATGAGATTTTTTTACGTCTTTATTTCCAGCTCAGGAGACAAATGTCAATACTTGTGTGTCGATATCAGCTTCTGTTCACTACAAACTATCGACCAACCGGTCGGAAATATCCACTTAGCAGTGGAAATCAATATTTTTATCTTTCAAGGATGAGGTTGGTTATCTACGATGTGGGAGTGTGAGAAATCATAGCTGGAAGGGAAATCTTTCATGGACATTCCTTTATCAGAGTAATCTTAAGCGCCTGATTGAACGAGAGTGTGATTCTCAAGCACAAAACTTGACAACAATTTCGAAAAATCATACTAAGTGCCGAATGTTTTCTTTGTGCTGACACGACTGCATTACGAGAGTTTCTTATAATGTCTTACCATTGTCACAAAGACCTTTAACTGCATCAAAAAGTAAGGCAAATCTTACAGGACAACAGCAATCCATGTAAACACCACGAATAACATCACCAGACGGTAGAGTTTTGGGATTCTGATGTGGATCTATTGTAATATTGCTTCGCAACTTGAGCACTAATAATGATGAACAGTTTATCTCGTTATGATATCAATCATAAACCATAGGATATTTGAATTATAATTTTAGGTTAGTTAGAAATACACTAAACAAGTTGTATATGGGTTCAGTAATACCTGTTTCCTGTTACATATAGAGTGATATGGTGTGATATTTCTATGCCTTCATAAAATACAACGGTCAAACATTTATTTGTTGCCTACTACTATTGTTCAGAAAAATATGCTTTTATTATTGTATCAGGAGAGGGGAAATTAAATTTGAATACAGTGATGTTGAGTGCTGTTAGAGGTATAAGGGCGGTTATCACTTTCCGGTCGCCCACACCGTGGAACGGTTCTTCTTGAGGTACCTGAAAAGGAAATTGGATTATAGGTGGTTTTAGTGACCTGAGAGTGTGATCGCAGTGCCCAAGGAACAACTGCTTGAGGTCGGTCACACACAATCTTTTGTGAGTAATTTTCGTGTTAGCTTCGTTCTTGTTGAGATCTTGCCAGCGGAGACGGATATCGGTGGGATAAAGTGAAATGTGTATTTTTAGGGTCGACATTTTCTAACCCCACCCCTCCTTGTATGAAGGCAGCATCGCTGCTATGCTGGTTAACTGAAGGAAACACCTTACTGTCGTCACACCTCTGTACAGTCAGCAGTACAACTTCGGACCTTGGGTTTGCTGCTTTTAGTCTTTTATTGCTCTTCAACCGACCTGTCTGGCATGGTAGAACCTTGAGGAACGATTGTTCTAGCCAGTATAGATCAATTGGTTCATCAAGATATGCAAGCCCGAATACCACGTCATATCATGATTATTATCATAATTATAGTGAAATAACATTGTTTAAATGAATAAAATCAATTGTTCAACACCGAAAAGTATATTAAATACATTGCATCTAAGTGGATTGTTTCAAGTCTAATAAATAATTTGACAAAAATATTTTAGAATGGTAACTACAATGCAGTTTAATCAATGAATACATTCATATAAAATTTAATTATATTCCTATATAGATATGGAATTGAATTCAAACATTCATATATTCTTATTTATTTAAACAAAATTATAAACCTTTATTATAATAAACAACTGAAGGTAATCGATCAGATCGAATTTCTTTAATATGTGCTTGAACATCAGGTTCAAGTTTATCAAATGGAATTGAACTGATTTGTGGGAATACAGCACAGCATAAAGGTGTTACAAGTGATAACCTAAACAAAAAAAGTGATAGGATATTTTTTTTGAAGAAAAAAACAACAACAACAAAAGTTTTGAATGAAATTGTTTATACTTACTTATTTACGCCTGTTACTCCCAATGGAGCATAGGCCGCCGACCTCTACATTTTAGGAGAAGCACGGAATATCAGATGGTTTTCTTATAGTGCAGAACAATTACAACGTTCATAATTGGAGTGACATAAGTGACAATTTATAAGTGTGTGAATGTCTTGTCAACAGTATTATTTGAAAATAGTTTCCTTAATTTTATGTTAAACAAATTTTCAAGGTTTATCATTTTCATGTGGATTATTTAATAATGTACTTAATGAGATCACTGAGCGATCAATGTTGGACCACCACTGGAAATCTGAAACGTCATTTTGACCTAGTATGTAACTTCTCAACAGTGAGTATCCGCAATCTCTTACATGGAACTCAAATCCAGGACCTTCATTCTAGCACGCGAACACTTAAACTCTAGACCAATGTGTTGGTATTTAACAGTGTTTGTGTCTAACTTTAACATTGATCAGTTCATGATCTCAATAAAAAAACTCAACAATCTTCACAATCCTATAATGATAATAATATACTTGACCACTCCTATCAATAGTTATATGTCTAGTCAGAACATTTTTTTTAAAAAAACGACAAGAATATCTTTAATCGGAAAGCTGGTTACTTTGGCGAAATCTAACATTTTCCACAAATTACTGCTACAATACACAATCCTTAATTCTTAGGAGTAAATTTGCTAAAATCAATTAACTAGAAGATAGAAAGGTATGATTAGTTTAAAACATTAACACTTTTGGAAAAAAGAAGCTAACTACAACACCTATAAATTAACTTACATTAAACCGACTAAACTAATTTGTATTGGAGCTCCTAACCAAGGATAACGAATAAGCAATTTTTGTCTTTCTAATGATTGCATCACAAAAGGTAAAATTGCTGAAGTAGGTAGATATAAAGAAAAAAAGTAATAATGTAAAATCGTCAGTTTTTGTTAATTAAGTAATTATCATTGATTAATGTTAGTTGTTTATTTTGAAATATTCATTTAAAAACACAAACAACGTGTTTTGATGTAGGTTTGTTCTCTGACTTCTACCCGAAATTTATGCTGACGATGTCGTTCAGAAGGACGATGAAAGATCCATGACCAAACCATCCAGCTCAGAGAACAAACCTACATCAAAATTACCCACCTGAGCTACAAATCTTCTCCACCATTTCACAAACAACGTGTACATAAGGTATTGTAGTGAATAAGAACACTAGTTGGGGACATTCGAATGTAATGTAGCACATTACAGAATATCTCATTAAAATATGAGAACTATATAGTGAACAGTTAATTCGTAAAATGACAATCAATTGTCTCAATTTGAATGTTTCTTCTGCAAATATCTGTCCATAGTCTCCGATTATAATTTTCCATTCATTTTCCTACCAATTGCCTGCCGTTCCCGTTCTCTCCTTATCGATCTTCTACTGAAATATATTCAATGCCCGACCATCAGCATATACTACTTATGTGGATATCAGTAACCCACATCACAGTATTACTAGTAATAAGTTAATTTAAACTGTTATTATTTCTAATTCGTCTATATATGATAAATTAATTTTGTTTTAATTTCCACAAGTATATTATCAATATCAACGGAAGGTTTGAATTATAGACGTTCACAGTATCAACAACGGGAAAATAGAAATTCTTATTAATAACTTTTAATGCATTGAATAAGTTAGTGGTTATTTGGAACTATTATTTATTTATTTAAACAAATAAATATTGGTACAAAGGGGCACCACATATATATACGCCACACAAATCTCATTTGATTTGTGTGACGGCTGTGAAACTGCCCGGGTGCCCGAACTGAAGCAAGTGGTTATCTTAGGGGGCCACACCCGGAGCCTTTGATCTAAAGATCTGATCCACAAGGCAGTGGACCATCGTGAGAAGATGCAGTCTCATGGTAGCCGGTGACCAACGATTGATTCATACGCCACTTGTTCCTTCAGGATACTGGAACCCATGTACACCATAGGTTTGGAATCACGGTTTTCCAACTCCCCTAGGTGGATCCTCCATATTCACCAACTCGGTTAAAGCGCCGGACATTCGCTTTTCGTCCTCTCACTTTCGTAAACAACACCCTCGCCACGAGAAAGTAGTGAGTAGGACTTCCTTGGTAGAGGCTATATATGCGTGGCCATGTGAGAGCATTTCGAGAGGGAGAATGGACTCTTCCCACTCTCGGCCGTACCAGGGCATTCGGAGGCCGTTCACAGTATCAACAACGGGAAAATACGAATTCTTATAAACAACTTTTAATGCATTAAATAAGTTAGTAGTTATTTGGAACTATGAACATGTTGGATAACAATATTGGTATTTGAGGCGATGAGTATGGTGTTTAAGACTCAATGATAATAGGTAAAAATAGTTGACAAATACTAAATGGAACCAAATGTGGATCTTGAATCTTACTGATAGGCGCGATGTAATTATGTTCGAAAAATAACAGGTATTTGTTTCTACAATTTGTTACTTTTGATTTTTAGATTCCAGTATACACGCAGATGTTAATATTTCCATGAAGTTCGATTTTGACTTTCATAACCAATGCGTTTACTAGAATATCATATCGCATAAGTATTGGATAATCTCTTAGAAATTATTGGATTCATATGATTTAAAAAGGGAAAATTTCGTTCAGTCTAAATAATAGTCCTAACTCTAAACTAATACTGCTATTAAATATTGATTAGGATATGGTGTTCGCTGAATGATTAGTTCATTAGTGACAAGATACTGCGAACATTATCATATTAAACCATGTAGAGTGATGACTTGATGATTAAAGTACTCGGTTTTCAACCACCAAGTTGCACTTACGAAAGCCACTCCACTCATTTCGGTATGAGCAATTGCTTTTATACAAATAATGTGGCTGAAGAACCAGTAAATACATATTCACTTAATAAGTTTCATTAATTGAAAAGTTAGTTCAAGTTATTGAGGTAGAGTTTAAATATACCACCAAACGGTCTTAAGATCTTACGCTATTAGGCCAATTGGACGACAGTAAATAAAAACGAATTAGTTATTTTATGGTAGGACTGGGAATTGAATTGTAGGGTTTAGAGTCCTTACAACCTAGCCGATGTCGATTCATGATGAAAACTGTGACTCCAACTCATAGTATCAATTCTTAACCCTATTGAGGTAAATGCACAGTGACTTTGAGATGATTTGGACGTTCCCTATTGACTTGGCGATATATTTTGACCTTGACATTACTCTAGTATTCTTCTACAAGTGAAGTCAATTAAAATTCTGAGACTATTAATCAAAGTAGATCTTGATAACATAGGATGACAGGAATAATATTGTAATTACACATGAGATCAAATGCTTAGCCAGAGATTACATAATATATAGGATGGTATAGACTAAGCAAGAAATGATAAAATGAGATGAGTGCTAATTAAATTCTTGATAAACGAAACACATCTTTACAACACAAAACTATCATATTATTAGATGACTTACTCATTCCAGGAGAAGCCATTAATATTCGTGATAAAACCACTTGACTAACAGCTCTACGTCCTACAACAGTTGATTTACCCAATTTTTCACCATTTTCATCTATTATAGGTGTACCTTCCGTTAATTCAGCACTTCTCATACATGGAATATTAATACAATTAGCTGCACTGACTGCAATAAATGGTACAAATCGACCAATTATAGGAGGAAATTTCTAAAATTGAAAAAAGAAAGCAGATAAAAAGTGTTCACTGAATACGTGTGTATTTTAATTTATGAAAAAAAGATTCTAGTTTCAGAGATAGTTGATCATTCGATATCATTCCCAATTACTGAGAATCTGAATATTTAACATACCCTTCATTTTAAATACATTAATGATTAGTCTATCACAAACAAAATTATACACACTATATCGTGCTGGTAATAAGGAAATTAAAGCAATTCATTCAGTATAACATCACTTACAACTAGTTACATTGGTGTCTGATGGGCAAACGACTTGGAAATTCGGTGACAAGATAATATATCTGTAATATATATGTATAACTCAGAGGTAAATGATATAAAATTATTTCATTTTTAAGATTAAATATACACTTTCATGATATGGCCATGCAGAGCTGAAGGTCTTATGTGAGACTGGAGGTTCATCATTGAAATTGTAGATGGTTCGGGATTGCTTTGGCAAGTTTTGCTGGTTGTCCATGTGGAAAGTTGGTTTGCTGGTTATCCGATTTCATTCATACTGGTGGTTGCTTTTCAGTGTTCTCAAGGGCTTTTGTTATTGGAGCATTGTAAGGCATATCACCATTGCTAACATTATTGAGTTTGACTATCGTGTAAGCGGAATGGGTTAACTTTGACCTGTTCATGCTGTGCATAATTGATTTACGCGATCACTGATCGGAATAATTATACATGTGATGTGAATGTGTATATGAATCGTGCGAATGGTCCACCAGGGTGCTTGGTACCTGTGTGGTTACGCCACAGGATTGAGCTGTACTGTTCGGATTGTACCGTTGAAGCCCATATAGTGTCTGGTTCTCCTAGTGGATGGAATTGAGCTGTACTGCTTGGGTTAAGCCTGGGTAGTGTCTGGCTTTCCTGTTAAACGGGATTGAGCTGTACTGTTTGGACTGTTGCGTGAAAGTCTGGATGGTGTCTGGTTCTCCTGAAAACTAGTGCAAAATTACCTTGGCCTATAAGGGTATATTATGTGACTAATAATAGTAGAAATTTAGATAGACAATGATTAACACTTAAAATCTATTTGAAAATCAAGAGAAAAAGAAATAAACAAATAACCAATATCCCTTATACAATTAGTAGTGGGTAAAAGTACAGTATGGGGACGACCCAATCAAAATCGAAAACATGACTTCCAGGTTTAGACGCAAAATTGAAATACAACGTATGCAACGCATTTGAAACCTTACGTTATCAACTAATTTCAATTATCAGATTGTTTTAATTTCACGCTTATGTTATTTCTGATTGTTATAAGTTAATTTCAATACTAGATGCAAGTACATAGTATGTGTTTGCTACACCGACGGTTTACTTTTTTTTATTCTTTTCTTTTTCAGATTCATTCACCTACTGCACCCAATACACACGGTACCTTCAGGCTAAATGCGAATCTATCAAGGGTTGGACATTACATGTATAACGAGTAGTAGAGACACTTATGTATGGTGCTCAAAATGGAAGAGAGAAATTATTTTTTTGTCATCCATGGAGAAAACTGATGATCTTAAACTTATTAAATGCTTAATTCTGTCTCTGTAGATTGTATACAACATGAAGAATTGACTTTATCCCTAAATTATAAACTTATATTTTAGAAACGAATTAATCATGGTAACTTATATGTTCTTTAGATTTGTAATCAAAGGACTATCCGCACAATTATTCATTCATATGACTACAAAATGTTCTCCCATTATAACCTGAAATCCTAATTTTGACCGTTATTGGTTCTCATGTAGTAAACTATTCGTTTATACTACTTAAATCCTGATTTGTTAAATACTGACTTTACTGTCTCATAATCATCGTGAGAGATATTGAATGTTGTCAGTAAAGAATAATTTTATCAAAAGTCATTACTACAACGTTATAATTTTAGTTTTTCTTTAATGCCAAGTTTGTTCTATATAATTTTTATTAAATCATATAATAAATGATCTTGAAAAAGTTATAGCTAAGATTATTGTAATTAGATTAATTTAATAAATATTTATCGATCATAAAATGATTTTTATCAGAAGGAGGCTTTGTGGTGATTTTAGTAATTTTATATGGTTGACATCATGAGTCAATTGAAGCTAGACCATCTGGAAGCACTGAATGGTCGTTTCGTCCTATTGTGGGACTCCTCAGCAGTGTGCATCCACGATCCCGCCTCGCGAGATTTGAACCCAGAGCACATAGCTGATAGACCACTGAGTTCAACCAGATCTGTTGGGAGATATCAACTCACGGAAGACATTGGTGAATGGTTGCTCATTTTCGTGGATCAGTTGAAGTTAGACATTAACACCGTTGGATGCCGGCTAAGTGGTCTATCGGTTAAGGGCTCTGGTTCGAGACTGGTAGGTTCTGGGTTCGAATCTCGCGAGGCGGGATCGTGGATGCACACTGCCACCGAGGAGTCCCATAATAGGAAGAAACGGCCGTCAAGTGCTTCCATGTTTTCCATGGTGGCCCAGTTTCAATAGACTAATGATTTCAACTACATAAAATAAATAAAAAGTTAATTTATAAACAATATTGGATTTTCAGTTTACATAAGCAATAGATAGTTAGTTGAAAGTGGAACATAATCATAATGTTTGTTTTTTTATTATTAAAATCATTTCATATGAATAATTAAATAATAATGATGAAATTTATAACATTTTTAAAAAAACTATTTCATATGCCCCATATTAATACGCTCATACTTTATTTACTAAATAGAATTAGAACAGTACATCCATGGGTCATACAACGATATTAATAATAATAATAAAAGTTTATTCAAATATTTATACACTTATTTTGATTTCTGTAAGGATGGCCCGCTGGTAAACTCTAGTAAGCCTCAAGAAGCCCAGAAAGAGCCGAAGACATTCTATCGAATCACTGATAGGGGAATATTATAGAATGTCGACGTGTAGCTTAATCATTGGATGGATACGAATGACCCCTTATGTGTCTATTGGTTGTCCGAAATGATGATTTACTTTCAACCAAAAAACTATAAATGCATGAGATTTCTCTACTATATTTTGACATTATTTTGGGGAATAAAATTCTAGTTACTAGTCTTCTGTCTTATCTCTTGCGACGTTGCGGGTTCGGTCATTCAAGTAGTCTAGTAGTACGCGGCATAGCAAGAATCAAAGCTCTAAATATAACAATTTCCTATCATGACTCATGTATATTTACTACTTGTTCTTTTGTTTGTACGTAACGAATGCAGTAAATGTTTCATTATAGAAATAACGGAATGAACGAATTATTAACAGACAATGTGACAGTATAAATAAAGATAAAATTACTAATGATCTATTGTGATTAAGATAGAGAATCATTTTAATCATTGTAAACAAGAACAATGAAAGTCATAATATAATATAACATAACATTTAACTTATACATCAGATATCAAAGTATGAACCACACTCTAAGTGTGAGTATTGATGAAACTACTCTGTTGTTCAAACTGAAGTAGATAAAGCTAAGTTTGAACTGTAGAATGACTGACTGAAAGTTAGAACACCTTAACTATTAAGCTTTATGTATTTACCTTTCTAAAGTTTGTTGATAATTTATCCATTCTGTCATTTTCATAATAAGATACATACATTATTAGTCATATACAAATAAACACATAGATACAAAATATAGGTATATAATGATACTTTGTAAATCCTGAACAAGAAAGGGTAACTAAACATAAGAAAAGTTAAAATACATCAAATTGACAATCATCAATGTCATGATTACGTAAGAAAGTCGAATTATTTCTATGTGTTTCTGAATTAGATAATTATATCAATCTGATGAAACTTGATAGAAATATAAGTCATCTTAAACAATCTCATATGAATAAAATGAAAATCTTTAGAAAACAATGAATAGATGAATAATTATATGAATAATAGGACACATTGAATCTAGTTCATAAATATTTAATTAAAAATAAGGACTAATAGAATTAATATCTAAACTAAAATCAATAACAGGAAATTAAAATAGCCATAGAAAAAGAAATTTGTAACTTTATAATGAATTAAAGAGTAGATTATGAATCATATATACTTTGATGATTTATTTCTAATATAATATAGGTCATACTTTTAAAAATAACAGTTCTTAATATTGACTTAATATATATAACAATTATTCTTAGAGGGCCAATCACGAAGCTTTTGATCTAAAGATCTGATCCACAAAGCAGTGGAGCATCATAAGGAGATGCAGTCACATGGTAGCCGGTGACCAACGATTGATTCATACGCCACTTGTTCCTTCAGGATACTGGAACCCATGTACACCATTGGTTTGGAATCACGGTTTTCCAACTCCCCTAGGTGGATCCTCCATATCCACCAACTCGGTTAAAGCGCCGGACATTCAATTTTTGTCCTCTCAATTTCGTAAACAACATCCTCGCCACGAGAAAGTAGTGAGTAGGACTTCCTTGGTAGAGGCTATATATGCGTGGCCATGTGAGAGCATTTCGAGAGGGAGAATGTACTCTTCCCACTCTCGGCCATATCAGGGTATTTTGGGGCAAAACAAACAAACAAAAAATTACTAATTAAAATAATAAAAAGAAATAATTTACTTGAACTTGTTTATTGATAGTTAATGCAGTGCCTAATGCTCCACCAGTAGCCAAAACATATGATATACCAAGACGTCTGTTGGAATAGGAAAAAAGTGGACAACTTGAAGGAGATATATATAGGTTGTTTTAGAGTGAATACTTTCATTAAAATGAGTTAATTAAAATAAGTAATCTATTGGCTACCAAGATTACGAAATGTTGGAGATTTCTTATAAAAGGAAGATGATTTTGGTCGACCTGAGTTTTTAAAGCTTGATGACTTCTTACTTGTGATATTGGTTGTCTCTCTTATTTTCTGTTTAATTCCTCGAAGGGAGTTGTTGTAATCGACAAATGTTCCAAAGTAAATATTCTAATAATAAGTGTGGTAACTTGAAAATAAAATAAATCAGTGTTGTACAAAAGTGATTCAGAATCACGAAACCATTGAATATATCATAAGTTAGTCCAGCGAAACACGGGCATAAGATGCCATTGTAAACAATGGACGAAAGGCTTATTGTTGTATCCGAAGAAGAGTAAATCAATGGTGACTTCCAAGAATAGTTTATAGACTATTATTATATATATTCGTATCGTATAACTAACAAGTAACTAAATCATATATATATATATATATATATACTATTCCCAATCTATTAGTTACAGTCTTCCAAACTTACAGCCAATTTTGGCTTGATCTTTTCTAATTGCTATTTTTCATCTTATGGTGTGATACAGTCTGGTCTGGTTGTATATAAACTGCGTATCTGAAATATATTACTTATACAGTGAAGGAGGACGTCGTGTTCCGAACCCAATGGGCAGGGCTAGACGAGAAGCTACTATATCGAGGGCCAGTAAGGATTCAGATTTGACTCAAGACTGCTATTGTTGGTTGACATACCATTGGTTTATCACAGGAAAAAGGTCATATAAGTCGATAATCTGATTGGCGATTTTGTTACGTGATAATTGGCAGGGTCATAAATCATAACATTTACAATCAATTCAACCAACCTCTAACTACCTTTTTACTTCACACTATATTTCAACCTGAATAAAATAATCAGCTTAGCCATTCAAGGTTGAATAAAAAGGTAATGGAGAACAGTGTGCATTGTTCATTAACACATCTACACATAACTAACATTGTGCTAGTTAAAATATGTTGTTTTTTCTTTCTGTTTGATCTCAAATGATGTCAATCATAAATCAGCTAGGTCTCTATTTTGATCATGTTGTCGATTATTGAAATACTGTACATCAAAGGTAAGTGACTGAAAGTAGTAGGCAGGAAACTTTGACGGACCTAGGTATGATAGTAGTTTAGATCAATGACATTATAAGTTTAACAAGGCAATTAACATAAAAATCATAGTTCAACTCTAATTATTGAGTAAAAGCAAAAAAAGTAGACGATAGTTAAGAACTACTTCTAATTACCTATACATCGCGACATAGTGCATATGGTATCCATTTACTCAAACTAGTAATTACATCATAACTTGATCAATAAAATTGGATAAGTACAGAAAGACTAACTAAGTATGACACTGGTTACTACTCAGTGATCCATTAATTGTAAATTAAGGATTCAATCACTAGGCTAATTATCACTATATATATAATAAAGTCACTATTTAAGTTTACACTATATTCAAGTTTACAAACTAGACATGATCAAACTTTCGATATTTACTAGCAATGGGAATATCAAACTAAGAAAATTTGTTTACCAGGTCAATTGTATTGTATAATATTAAACACTAAAGCTCATCAACATTTTATTAGTATTATTAATAAGAACCAATCAATCTATGCATAAACCTTTCATGTTGAAAAATAATGAAAGTTGTATTGTTTGACCTGGTAGTGTAAGTTTTTTTAAAAACAATTTTATTTACAATTAATATGTAGTTGACAAAGTTGTTGATTAAAATCAGAAGGGGATTTGTGGAGATTTCAGTATTTTTCAAAGTTGAAATCATGATTCAATTGAGGCTAGGCCACCATCGAAAACCTGGAAGCACTGGACGGCCGTTTCGTCCTATTATGGGACTCCTCAGCAGTGCGCACCCACGAGATTCGAACACAGGACCAACCAGTCTCGAGCCAGAGCCATTAACCAGTGGAGTTCAACCACGTCTGTTGTGAGATAACAACTCACTGAAGCCAATTGGTGAATGGTCGCTCATAATTCGTGGATCAGTTGAAGTTAGACATTGACACCGTTGGATACCGGCTCACTGGTCTATCGGTTAAGGGCTCTGGCTCGAGACTGGTAGGTCCTGTGTTCGAATCTCGCGAGTGCGGGATCGTGGGTGTGCACTGCTGAGGAGTCCCATAATAGGACGAAACGACCGTCCAGTGCTTCCAGGTTTTCCATGGTGGTCTAGCTTCAATAGACTCATGATTTCAACTTTGTTGATTAAAATCAAGACTAACTGTACACATGTAGAATCCTGATGGGCGGCCACCTATGCTCTTTCACGAGGGGTAACAGGCGTAAGTAAGTGAACATGTATATAGTTAAAATTTATTACAAATGAAACGTGAGATGAATAATTACATCTCTTTATCGCGAAATTGTCTGGTATATAGTAAGCGCGTAGAATAGAAGCCAGTGGCGAGCCTTCTGTAACCTTCTTTTACTTTCTTCATAAAAAGTGGTTATAACTTTCTTAACTGAAAGAGTCTTCTGGTTGTAAACTTCAGTTTCTCCCCATTATTACTTTCTCTTTTTTTTCTTCTTTTATATATACGCATCCTCCCCCTTTCTCTTCCCATTCTCATTGTTTTGTGTGGCGCATATGTACCTGGTGCCCCTTTGTACCATAATGTATGTGTTCAAATAAATAAATAAATTATTGCAAAATGCTTGGTTGACCAAATAAACATCTGATCTACATTCAATGTTGTTCTTTTCTTAGGCAGGTTTGAATGCTACTTCATTTAATACAACTTTATTATTTTCAGGAAACCGACAAGAAATATAATATTCTTATTTGTTAGGAATTTGTTGAAAATTTGATAGTGTGGTATTTCTACTATATAGGTTCATTTATTTAGACACATAAATATTGGTACAAGGAAGCACCAGATATATATGCGCCTCACAAATCTCATTTGATTTGTGTGAGGGCTATGATACTGCCCGGGTGCCCAAACCGAAGCACATAGTTCTCTTAGGGCGCCACACCTGGAGCCTTTGACTTAAAGATCTGATCCACAAGGCAGTGGAGCATCGTGAGGAGATGCAGTCCCATGGTAACCAGTGATCAACGGTTGATTTGTACTCCATTTGTTCCCTCAGGATGCTGGAGCCCATGTGTACCATTGGTTTGTAATCAGGGTTTTCCAACTCCCCTAGGTGGACCCTCCATGTCCACCAACCCGGTTAAAGCGCCGGATATTCACTTTTCGTCCTCTTAATTTCGTAAACAACAGTAATGCCACTGTGACAAGGCAGTGAGTAGGACTTCCCTGGCAGAGGCTATATACGCGTGGTCATGTAAGAGCATTTGGAGAGGGAGAGCGGACTCTCCTCACTCTCGGCTGTACCAGGGCATTTGGGGGCTACTATATAGGAGAAAGATATTTCAACAAGCTATGGCAAATATTTTCTTTAAATAAAAGGAATACTATTCAGTTTGTTTTACGATATGAAATCCAATCTATGGAATTTATGGATTTACAAAAACTGAAATTGTATGTTTCGCGTTATAATATTTTCTGTGGCCTATTAAAATGAGTGAGCACTAAAGAACTACGGGTCATGGTACTGAGGCCTTTTTGTTTAACTGACTAAATACGACAAAAATGGACTATTACCATCTCTCTACCCATTTCTTTTCTACCAATGAATATTTAGTTTTTACTAACCATTGAAAATAAAATGTAACAGGAAACTCTAAGTCAATAATTTTGAAGAAAAGAACTATCATAATTCTTTTTATTCAGGAAATGTCTATGAGTAGTCAACGGTCAGATAGTTTTTCTACCCGTCAAATCCCGTTATTTTTAGAAGAAATTATAGTTGGGGTCTGGACAAAATCTAGACAGACAGATATACACACAAATCGGTTCCTATTGTTTAATTTTTAGATTTTAGTAAACTTTTGATGAATTAATTACGTAACTGAGTACAGATCATTTAGTAGGAGTTATACATAGTCATATTCCTAAATTTGATAACTGACATATGCAACTCTCTTCCAATACCATTGGTAGGTATCCGGTTGACGCATGATATAGTTGAACTCCACCGGCCACAGTCGTGAGAACTGAATGTACTTGGTTCTATCACTGGTGGGATTGTGGATGCGTGATCTCAGGGAGTCTTGTGCTAGGACAATAAATCAGTTTGGTGCATTTTAGCTTTTATTAGGTGTAAAACTAAGGTTAGTCGGTGACTTAAATTGGAGACTTCATTGGACTTTGCAAACCACTCATGATACAATTTGAATAGATTAAGATTTTCTGAAATGGGGTATAGAAAATATCGGTCCATAATAAAAAGTCCTACTGAGTAAATCTTTAAAAACTCCTTAACTAAATAACTAAGGTTTAGTTACTAATCAATAGCTTCGAGGAGGGTTTCTTAAAATTCTACAGGAGAGCCAAGAACAGTGAAGTCAACCATTTCAACAGTGAAGCTGATAACCACTGGGTGACGACACTGGATCATGATTGTACTATTTCGTGAGCTGAATGAAATTGAAAACATAGGTAGTTGAGTTAGTGTCTAAAGTAATCGTATACACTGTAGAATATGAACTTTCTGGGTTCGATCATGTTGAGGAGTCTAAGAGTGAAATGAAACAGTCAACTAATGGTCTTGTTGTTCCCGATGGATTTTCAGCTGATATCAGTTTATATAAAAAAGCCACCATATACAAGATAGAAGGTTCTGAATGATATTTAACTCATAATTTATAGGAACATAGAGAATGGATCGAAGCAAGCCCTGTCGACCAACGTTTTCAGCTATTGATTACGGATATTAATTTAGTGGTGGTAATATATAAAAGAAAGATTGTATATAAGGATATAGTACTGTAGTAACAATTCATAAACTTTAATTCATGGTGCTGATTGACGTCTGTCAAAAAATTTATTGAACCAACATCGTGACGATACATATCCATTAGTTCTTAGATTATCAGGTGACATTAACAAAAAAAGATGGACAAAGGCAATACATTAATTCCATAGAATATAAATATAACCCGCGGAACAGATATATTTGATTAATTATGTTAACATGAATAAGTATAAGTAATGAAAATTAAATTTATTTTGAAGTTTGATTAGGTGATACCTATAGAATAACTCGATATGATTTATTATCGATAGATCAAAAAACTACCATAATGCTAACCCAATTATATAGAACAGTTAGCACGAAGAACAACTGCAATTACTGTCGAGATGTACAAGTATATTTTAACTGTGTAGTGATCAACTACAAACTATCACGTGGAAATCCTTAATGATGTATACTTTGGAACATGTATTTTAAGTCAAGTCAGTATATTAAAAATAAAGAGATAAGACTAGGATGTCAAAAATCTATTTAATCGGCTTTTATTAATTTGGAAAAGTTAGATTAAACATATATTCTGTAGTCTTATAAAATCCTCCCATAGTTAATAATACGTAAAATGAACAGTGATTTTCAGCAAGCACTCATAATAAACACTGATAAATTTGCCTTAAAATGATCCATAACACTTACGTTAGTGAAATAGGTGCGTCACCACTCCGATTAGTATAATTTACAACGGCATTGAATGTTTGGTTAAACCATTGCCAAAATATGACAGCCGGTGTAGACCTAAATGTAGTAAAAAAATAAACAAATAAATCCAATACATTCTACAGCTGACAGATCGAAAAAGTTTTTTAACAGGTTTTTCAGCTCGTTTTATTGGGTGGACTGATAAAACTAACTATTATGAGGTTCTACAGATATAAAACAAATAATTTTGTTGGACATTTTAACTATTTTAGTTTATAAGTATAGGATCGTGGAGATTAATGAGTTTCACCGAAATCATGATACGATCAATGTTATACCGCCATTGAAAACCTGGCCGTTTTATCCTAATGTAGGAAGTGCGCACCCACGACCACGCACGCGAATCGAAAACAGGACTTTTGATCTCGCACGCGAATACCTAACCCCTGGACCACTGAGTCGGTATCCAACGCTGTTAATTTTAATCTGGCGAAACCCCAGTTATTTACGAATTCATAGTCTTCGACAAGGTTTTGACCGATGACATGTCGCTTCAATAACGATATTTTTATACTGAATTGAAATTTGACTCATTGAAACACTGACCAACAAAGCCTATGACGATTTCGAAACAAAAATTAATTTCATGAACAGGTTTTTTCTCGCTCTATATAACCTTGTGAAACAGCTGTTTAAACAAACTAAAGAGAGATGGACGCGTACACTTGGTCTTTTTTTTCTACAAATGACCCCAAATGCCCTGGTACGGCCGAGAGTGGAGAGAGTCACCTCTCCCTCTCGAAATACTTTCATATGGCCAGCGAATATATAGCCTCTGACAGGGAAGTCCTACTCACTGCCTTCTCGTGGCGGGGGTGTTGTGTACGAAAGTGAGAGGACGAAAAGCGAATGTCCACAGCTTTAACCGGGTTGGTGGACATGGAGGGTCCACCTAGGGGAGTTGGAAAACCCTGATTACAAACCAGTGGTGCACATGGGCTCCAGTATCCTGAGGGAACAAATGGCGTACGAATCAATCGTCACTCATCGGCTACCATGGGACTGCATCTCCTCACGATGATACACTGCCTTGTGGATCAGATATTCAGGTCAAAGTCTCCGGGTGTGGCCCCCTAAGAAAACCACCTGCTTCAGTCTGGGCACCTGGGCAGTATCATAGCCCTCACACAAATCGAATGAGATTTGTGAGGCGCATATATATCTGGTGCTTCCTTGTACCAATATTTATGTGTTTAAATAAATAAATAATAAAGATATTGTATATAGAAGAGTAAGCGCTACTAAGGTCAAGGATATGGTCTTAGAAACAATTTAATTCAGTTTGTAAGCTTCTAGATATTCTCCGATTTTAGTTACTAAAACCTTTTTTGCAAGCTTTCAATCAGCACTTGTCTTGACATACTGTTATGGTTATAACATACGTTCAAGATCAAGAATGGTAAAAGTAACAACTTATAAATCTATCAAAATCCTAAAATAATTAGTATTTGTACCTTACAAAACGCACTAAATACTTTGCTAGGGTTAAAATGGCTTTAAAAAGTTTACTCACTTGTAAAACTGTAGCAAACAACCCGTTATAAACATATTCCCAGGCACCTGAAATGACATGCGTCCAATGAGTATCATTTTTTCTCCTGTATCTGGATGAAACGCTGAGTCGTACACATTTTTTGCCTGCCAAAGCTTTTCTACAGTTAAACCAGGCTGAATAATCCCTATCCTGTAATTATTTTAAAGGAATACATGACCATATAGTACTCACCTATAATTATGAACAATGGTCCTTGCTTCTTCTAATTCAGCAGGTGTTTTGAAAGCATTCAAAGGATTAGTTGTAATAAAAAAGTGTTTGGCTCTGCCAATATATGTAGACTGATCATATCGAGGCTTTTCTATGTCGACTGATTTACCATGAACTAATTCGGATGGCTATAGTATTGTTAAAAAGAAAAGGAAGTATGTTAAACTGTAAAAACTGTGGTAAGCCTATTATTTATAAAAACCTGTGAGAACTTTGACATACAACTATTCATAAAAGTACCGTGTAAATATTTCATAGCAAAAAGATTATCCGAAAAATTAGAAAGTGAATAAATGACATCTAATATGCCGAAGTTTGCTTTGGCCAATATGATAAATACCAGGCAGATTTGCTTCTACCGATATTTCGATGGTAATGGTAAACTGAAGCTCATACATTCAAACTTGAGGCATTACATTTAGAATCGAGTATCGCCAAAAGCTATTGCTCAAAATAATAGTCGTTTAATGCTGAAAACGACTAAACTGAAAGTAATGAATAATGGTGCTTTATTGAAAATACAATACTTAAAATGTCTTAGAAAGATAAAGGAAACAAGCTACATGTGATAGTAGTTCCCATGGCCAGAGATTTCGAGTCATATTTGAGAAAGGATAATGAACAAGAACCCAACTACAACCCAGAGGCAGTATCCCACTTTAGCGAAAGTGGCAAGCCGACGAATGCAATGGGTCAGTTATTTTGCACGGAGTAGAGAATGCCAGGGATTTTAGACCCAGGTTTGTCACTCCAATTATTAACTTGCGAAACTCGTTTTGAACAAGATTTAACTAAAGTCAAACGTTTTCATAGCAAATTGCTGTTCCTAAACTTACCAATAGCTACTTTACTGAAGATATGTACATTAGCGAATAAAAGTACAGTTACTTAAAGTTCTCAACTGCGAATAAAATGAGTTTATCACCACGAAAGGCACATCGAGGAAGATTTAAAGGCGTCTGGAGGTACCTATCAACTTTAAATTACGTTAAAAATGAATGAAAGGAATCTCAAATTGCTTCTACAGACAGACGAAAAAGGTTTTGAAGCATTGAGTTGGATGTTTTTCGGTAGTTGACGGTGATGAGACAACTATGGTTGATGTTGAATGTTGAGTAGATTACTTCCAGATAAGCTCCAGTGATGGCAGACATTTTGATGAGTTTCCCCATAATTTTACCTTTATTTTTCAACGCCTTTTCCCTTTTTCGCCTTCATTTCCTTATCATAGGTTGTTCGTGATAGTTTTAGTAAACACACTATAGTTTGATTACCTCGATATGTCAATCTAAATAACTGCTGATCTCCCGAAATTCAAACTACTTTGGCTACCACTGAACCTACTCCTTCGCATTTTAAACCTTAAGAACTAAATCTCAAATGAAAGCATTGAGTTCGTTGACAGTACATGTGTAGTTTTTAGTTGTAGGAACTTGTAGAGTGGAAACTGAAGATTACGAAACCAGAGAACAAACTAGCCGAAAAACTTCCTCATAACTTGCATCCCGAGCATTTAAGCAAATACTTTTAATAAGGCCAGAAACATATTACGGAGTGGTGATTAATTTCTTTACTTTTCCTGCGTCCGTAGCGTTCTGCCTGACTCATTATAAAGATTGCTTGATACCCGATTGCTTTAAAGTTGAGGTTTTGTGTGGAAAATGAACAAAATGAATAGACTCACATTAGATGGCATAATAGTGCGAAAACAAGCCAAAAAATGTAGACGTTTTGAAAGAAGCACTACCCTGATTCACCTTGAAGAAGTAGTTAACATAAACTTATTTTGTAATTAGTCTTTGTTATTGTTCTCTTGCTTCTTAATTCAGCATAATTTGCGCAATTACTACCATTGGTTGTAAAGTTTTTGTTTACAAATACTTGACCTTGCTTTTCCGTTCCCGTTTTGTACTTCAACGGCATGAAACATCGATTGTCGCACTGCTGCACATTTAAAGCACTTGTTATTATTTATCAGCCGTCAGAATATCAGAACTCTGATATATTTGCTGTCTGTGTTTACAGGTCACATTTATATCCCCATTGCGCCATTAATCTGGGTACGTAATTGGGATCATTTTAGTCAAATTTGGAATCACTGACTACTTATAATTGTGGATTAGGAGATCAACAAAGAGCTAAAACACTCTTCCTTCTGACAATCTTAGTAACGTCCCATATTTTTCTTTATGTATAATTTGTATTTAGGTACACTAGCAAACTAACTCCGCCTGTAGCTCTTCTAGAGTTACTGCCGGTCCCAAGCACGGGTAAAGGAGGAGGGTTGGGCATGGGGTTAGCGACCCCATCCCGTAGAAAAGCTAACTCGATAAAAAAACGCTAACCAGAAAAAATTATTCAAACCATTTAAACTCTGCCCTGGGAGTTGAAGGAATAATTTTGACGTCTCATGATGAAAGCCGACCAGTCAAGGACAAAGAAGGAAAGACAATCACTGAGGTTCAAGAACAGAGGAAAAGATGGGCAGAATACTTCGAGGAACTGCTGAATGATCCAGCCCCATTGGATCCACCGAACATCGAAACAGCACACACTGACCTTCCAATAGATGTCATTCCACCAACGATCGAAGAAGTCAAGATGGCCATCAGACAAACCAAAAGTGGTAAGGCGGCAGGACCTGACAATATACCAGCAGAAGCACTGAAGTCAGACATTGAAGTAACTGCAAAAATGCTTCACCCTCTATTCAAGAAGATTTGGGAAGAGGAAAGAAGAATATCTCATCAAGTTACCAAAGAAAGGAGATCTGAGCAAATGTGAGAATTACAGAGGCATCAACTTGTTATCAGTACCAGGGAACGTTTTCAACAGAGTGCTGCTGAATGGGATGAAAGACGCAGTAGACGCCGAACTTGGGGATCATCAGGCTGGATTCCGTAAGGACCGGTCGTGCACAGACCAGATTGCGACACTACGGATCATCGTTGAACAACCAGTTGAGTGGAACTCATTACTATACATCAACTTCATCGACACTATGGAGTTACTGAAAAGATTGTCAACATTATCCAAAACTCATACGATGGACTACAGTGCAAAGTGGTGCATGGAGGACAGCTGACAGATGCATTTCCAGTAAGGACCGGAGTCAGACAAGGCTGTCTACTCTCCCCATTTCTCTTCCTTCTAGTGATTGACTGGATTATGAAGAATTTGACATCTGACGGGAAATATGGAATACAATGAACTTCTCAGAATCAATTAGATGATTTGGACTTCGCAGATGACCCAGCCCTCCTCTCTCATAAACACAAACAAATGCAGATGAAGAATCGTTGATAAACAAGGAGGATCGGATGCAGATGTAAAGGCGAGGATTGGCAAAGCAATAGCAGCATTTCTACAATTGAAGAACATATGGAACTCAAAGCAACTCTCATCCAATTTCAAGGTCAGAATCTTCAATACGAACGTCAAGACAGTCCTACTGTATGGAGCTGAAACGTGGAGAACTACTACGGCCATCATCAGGAAGGTACAAGTATTTATAAACAATTGTCTACGCAAAATACTCAACATCCATTGGCCGGATACTATCAGCAACAGCGTTTTATGGGAGAGGACAAACCAGCAGGTTTCAGCTGAAGAGGAAATTAGGAAAAGACGTTGGAAGTGGATCGGACATACATCAAGGAAATCACCAATGTGCACCACGACTCAATCCCTAACTTGAAATGGTGAAGGGAAGCGGAAAAGAGGAAGGCCAAAGAACACACTACGCCGGGAAATAGAAGCCGATATGAAAAAGGTGAATAGCAACTGGAAAGAACTGGAAAGAAAGGCTCAGGACAGAGTTGGATGGAGAATGCTGGTGAGCGGCCTATGCTCCTCGACGAGGGGTAACAGGCGTAAGTAAGTAAGTAACAATAGCAAACTAACGTTTGTGGAGACAGGACTATAAAACATATTTTGTAAGCAATCTTTCATAGTTTTTGCATGTATTTTGTGTATTTTCATATTCTGTACATTTAGCATTAAACAATTGTACTTGTTGTCTAAGTGTATTACTATGAACACTGGTAATTTGACTTCCTTCCATTTTGAGTACATATCGCGACATTTTTACTGCTACCCAATAAATACACTCTAATTCACATCTGCATCGTTCTGCCGTGTCTGCTAGTATGTTAAATGAAATATTAATTGCATACCATCTCCGTTTATAGACACTTGTGACATTTTTATTAAATTATACACTTGGTTAATCTACTGGATCTATATCGTCCATATTGGAATTATTAATCTTCTATAATTGTGGATTATCGGGACCAAACTCAGCTGAACGCGCAATAGCCTGCAGAATTAAGTAACATCCCTTACTTTTATTTGTGTGTAATCAACTTATTAACTGTTAATTGTTACATAAATCTTAGACGTAATATTTTTGTTGCTATTTTTTGGTTATCATGCTTTTTGGTCCACCACACGTTTTTGTAATTACTTTATCATATTCGTGTAATTGTAATATTTGGTCTATCATGACTATCTGGCAATCCCCAAGGTTTATTTTGTTTATCACGTTGATTTTGCACTAAACTTGTAATCTTTTTGTAAATTGTACGCTTCTAATGGTCCTAAGGACATTGAGTGTTTTCTTTTAAAGGTCTCCTGTGAACGCGCTTCAAAAAGGGCAGTGATTTTCGTACTCGTTGTGATTATCGTTGCTTTTGTGTATTTGTTGCATCAAAAGCATTCTTGGTCTACTTTAACTTGAATTAATTCAGTTAAGGTTTGAAATTTTATTGAAAACTTTGTCTCGTGGTTCCTTCTTTTGCATATACTCTGACACTTGTGTTATTATTGTGATCATATTGTGTTTTAAAACTAATCTGATTACAATGGTTGGCAGTGCATTCAAAAGTGGACAGCCGAACTGTTTATTCCCCGTAGATGAAGGGATGCAATGTGATGAGTGCAAAAAGTGGTTCCACAAGATGTGTACCCGTCTCAGTCCAGCTGCATACAAAAGATGCTCTAAGCCTAACTCGCACTGGCTTTGTATGTTCTGTTGTACTAACAAGACGATATTAATCCAGGAGGCTATGAGCCTATTGGCTCTAGCCTGTAAAAAGAACGATAGTGGGTGCACTGGTAACGCAAGTAGTGACAGTGAAGACTGTGTCAGTGTTGGAAATGCTATTACAAAACGCACTAAACAACCTACTCTAATTAATGACAAAGTAAAACTTCCGTTACAACAAACGAGGAGTAAATCACCACATGGTATTGACATGAGTAATTATGCAACTTCAGTGGAAATTGAGGACCCGGATAAAACCGTCACCGACCCCAATAGTCCCGATGCAGCTGTCCTGAATGACCAAAAATGGACCGCAGTAAGGAGGGAAAGAAAAGGAAAAAAAGCTAAATATAAAGCAAATTTGGTTGACAAGTCATTGGGGAACTCGCAGTCTGAGTCACTCAATGCACTATCGCACTCTGATAGAACGGCAGATCATCATCCTAGTGCGACTGAGAGGGACTTATTATCATCGAATATTATTGTGAGTAAATTGCCACAGTCTAACGATCCAGATCCTAAGGTTAGACACACACATGACTTAGAGAGGCTCGGAGAATATATCCGTAGCATATTACCAGATAACACTAAAGGTGTTCAGGTCAAAAAATTAGTTAGAATAGGTAAAAGGGTCGATGACAGTGTTCTACCCCGACCGTGTAGACTCCTTAAGGTAATCTTAGGGTCCGAGAAACTCTCGAAGTCACGACAACTCTGACATTCGAATTAGACCGGATATGTCTCTTGAAGACATAATAAAAAGAAAGACGGCACTAGCTGAACTAGAAACCCGTCGACAAAACGGTGAAGAAAATCTCCGATTGGTGGGTTTTCGAATAGTCAGGTTATGGAAGCGAATGCTACCAAAACTGTGTGGATAGGTCGTTCCCCCTAGGAGTTTTATATGCCAACGCCCGTAGTCTAAAACATAAATTCTACGAGCTAGGAACATTAGTGGACAAATTAAGGCCACTTATTGTAGCTGTGACGGAAACTTGGTTAGTCCATGACTTCGATATCACCCCAGAATTATCCGGATATCATTGTTTAAGAAGTGATAGACATAGATGCAGGAAAGGAGGTGGCGTCCTTCTATACATAGCCAATAGTATAAATATCCGCTCCTCCGTTTGCGAATCTCATGATAGTGGAACTAGTGAAGTCATTAGCTGTGAGCTCACTGTCGGATGTTGTACATTTGAACTCGGTGTCATCTATCGCAGCACAATCTGCTTAGTTGATGACTTTATTTTAGAGCACATTCGGCTATACAGTGCAAATAACAGATGCTTGATATTAGGAGACTTTAATGCACCTGACATTAGTTGGACTGAGATGACCACGAAATGCTCTATAAACTCATTTGATAGCAGGCTCTTGGAAACAATAATGGAACATGCATTAGTACAACATGTATCCAAACCTACACGTTTTGGTGTAAACCAAGGTTCTTCTCTGTTGGACTTGTTAATTACCCATGAGACTGAGGATACTGCCGACCTAAATATTCTTCCCCCGTTAGTAAATAGCGATCACGCTGTTTTATCATTCACGTTTAGAGCTAGTGATATGATATATGATCAGATTAAGCCTCGCCCAAACATATGGAGAGCTAACATACCAGCCATTCAGGATTGTGCTACTAAGATAGA